CAGGTCCACCATTTGCCGTTAGGCTTCTTTACTAGAACTGGGTCAGCAACCTAGGTCGGGTAGAGTGCTTCTCGGATGGACCCATTTCTAAGGAGGTTATCTACCTCAAGCTTCAAGGCAACATATCGCTCTGGATCTATTGCTCTCCTCTTTTAGCGAACTGGCTTGGCTTCACCGTTGATGTTTAATGCATGGCAAATAACATTCGGGCTGATCCCAACCATGTCTGCGTCGACCATGTGAACACATCGATGTTCTCCTTGAGGAGGCTGCTCAGTTCGATAGCGAGCTGGGCATTGAGATTTTTATCGATCCTTAGCACCCTGCTCGGTTTCATGTGGTCGACTAGTATTTCGGCTAAGTCCTCAACTGGCCCACTGGAAGGGCAGTCCTGAATGCGAGGATCTATATTATCCTCGACGGACTAGGCTGTGGCTCTATCCGGCTGATTGCCATTGTCTAGTTGTGATCGCTGCGCGAAGTGCCTTTGCCTTTGCATGCCATCTGAACTGCTTTCATACAGCAGTCCCGGGCTACGCGTTGAGACCCGCTCACTTCCCCAATCCCTGTCGGGGTGGGGAACTTCATTTTCAAATGGTATACTGAAGTGACCGCCTTGAAGTGCCTCAACAGAGGTCACCCTAGAATCCCATTAAAGACGGACGGGCAATCTACTACCAAGAACTCGATTACTCTGGTCACTTCGTCGAAGTCACCCACGTGACTGGAAGCGATATCGTGCCCTTAGGGAGCAGGTGGTCCCCTGTGAAGCCATATAGGGGGAACGAGGCAGGCTTCAGGTCTACTTCGTCCCAATTCATTCTCTCGAAAGTCGAAGCGAACAGGATGTTCACAGCACTTCCGTTGTCCACTAACATTCTCTAGACATTGTGGCACCCTATGAGGGGCGTTTTCACAAGGGCATCTTCGTGAGGATGATGCAGTCAGGCCATATCTTTTTCGGAGAAGGAAATTTCCTCCTCCCGGCGAACCTTCTGTGGTCGTTGTGCCACGCTCATCGCTCTGATAGGCTCGTGGAGTGCCTCGCGAGCATACCTTTCTTAGGCACCTCGTGAGTTTCCCGCGAAGTACGGTCCCTTGAAAATTAAATTTAGATTGCACACGCCTTTCTGATCGCGGCGCTTCTTACTTGACCCCCCTTGATTTTTCTTTTGCGAGGGAGTAGAGTCATCAATATACTCCTTGAAATGTCCCTGCTTGATTAGGTTTTCAATCGCCTGCTTGAGAGCTCGGCATTCATCAGTATGGTGCCCATTGTCCCGATGATAGCGACAATATTTTTTATTATTTCTAGCTGTTGTTGGGGTTTTCATGGGCTCGGGCTCTCCGAGCAGGCTGGCCTCCTCGGATTTATCAAGAATAGCCGATACAGATGCGTTCAGTGGAATACATTGGTTTCTGTCGCGATCGCGACGAGGGACGGGGGCGTAGGACTTTTTGGGCTCGTAACGAGGTTTCTTCCCTATTCGTTGATCGTCAACATCCCCCATGCGATCAGCTCTTCTATTATCCAGTCGACCAGGTGTGCTGCCCGAAGTGCCTTGGTCGTGACGGCGGAGTGCCGCCATTGAGTTTTCTATTCGGAGGTACTTCTCCGTGAGATTATAGAATTCGGTGAGGGAAACATTGTCCTCGACCTGTAATTCTTTCCACAGGTCGGTCTGTGGATGGACCCCGGCTATGATGAGAGTCCGAACAGACTCTTCACGGGTGTGAGCCACTTTGTTGAGCTTTCTATGGAAATGATCAATGTAGGACTGGAGGGATTCATCCCTTTCTTGCCTTATATTGCTAAGTAGCTCAAAGGCATCGAGAACTTCTGATTTGCCTGAAAATGCCTCAAGAATGTCGCGCTCATCTGAGACCACGAACTGATCAATCCTGTTGGGAGCAACCTGAACCACCTTTGGCATGGAAGGTCAAGGTCATTGCCAAACAAAGACATTTGGCTAGATCTGAGACCTGGTGAAGCTCCATCAGGTCGTTAAATTCATACAGATGATCCTGCGGGTCGGAGTTCTCATCAAATGCCCACATGTCAGGCATCCTAAATCCTGGTGGAAGTGGAGTTGCCAACACTTCGGTGGAGAAGGGGGACGTTGATGCGACCTGCCCCTGCTCGTTTTGTTGAGCTCGCAGTCTGTCAAGAGCTTGCTGCAGTTCCTCAATTTGCGGCAATGGAGCCGCTTAGGGATTACTTTGACCCATGCGAGTTCGACCCTCGAGATTACGGTTGAGGAATGTTCGGAGGTCGGGTTCCTCTTTGCCTCGGTTAGCTGTTCCGGCCACTCTCAACACACGTCAACTAGAGGCATGTGATGACGATGAAGGATGCGGGGTATTTTCACGACCTTCACGGTGGTAAGAACCGCCCCACGAGGTGTGGGACCCTCTCGCACAGTGATGATCAGGATCATTTTGCTGGTAGTGGTAGGAATCGCCCCGACCAGCACTTTTACGGGTGTGCTCTTGCGATGTGGCATGGGACAACTCAGGCTGCGTCCTTTCACCGAGTCTCAGCGAGACTGGTATTTTGCTCGGGACGCGGTCAGAATTCGCTAGCCTTTTGGAGCCCGTGGGCTTGCTTTTTACCACTTGTTTTCCCTTTCGTCTGTGCGCTGCAGTGCTTGCGACACGGGCTATTTCCCGTTGCCGCGCTTTCGCATGACCTGCAGGCGTTTTTCGCGGTTGCATCGCCACAGCTGGCGTGGATGGCACGCCTTGGTCCAAACGGTCCAACCTTCGGTTGACCGTCTGGAGGGTATTGTCAAACCTCTCCAGGTAGCTTCTGATAACAGGGTCAAGCTGTGAACTTGACGGGATATCTCCTACAGCATTTTTGTGGGGCTGAAGGTTTTCTGGAAGAGGTGTCCCCTTGAACTTGGGGGAGCCCCTTAGCGCCCTGGTTGGTCTGCTTAGGTTCTGGTTGGCGGGCCATTTGTTGCTGTAGGACCGATAGGTTGGAGATTCTCCTGATGAAGGATGAACACTAAATTGCTCCTCCTTCTAGCGCCAAACTGTTGATGCGTGATTTTGACACCAACGAAACGCACGTGTGAAATGTCGGGTTGGCCCCCAAAAGACACACGTGAATGGTTTGGAAAGATGAAAGTAAATGCAGTGAGAAATGAGTTTTAAAGTGGTTCAGATGCTAAGGAAGCAAATCCTATGTCCACTGATATTTTTATTAATGATAAGGGTCAGGTCGCTTTAGACAACTGACTTTACACTGGTAAAACAAGGTATTGAAGTCTGTCTTTTCTAGAGAGAGAGAAAGAGCTTTTTCTTTTTGCAAGATTAAAATGCCCGAATCCCTTTGATAAGAGAGGGGCTCCCATTTTATAGTGGGATGCCTTGAGGTCATCATCATTGAATCAGCAAGTTGATGGGATGATCCGTGCAAATCCCTTGTTTAGAGTAATTCATGTGATTTGCTGTAGGGGTTGGACACGCGGGGTCATCACAACTTCTCACTGGCCTGACGTGCACCCATTACTCTGATGGAAGCAAGCTGTGGGTGCCACCATGATCATACGAAGCAGCTGCGTCAAAAGGGTAGTAGGCCCTTCCCGAGGCTTGACCTTGCGCACTCAATTGGACGCTACATCAGCCCTAAGTTCCTAGGCATAACAGAACGGAAATAGGTTGTCTAAGGAAAGCAAACTTAGATTTTCTTTTATTATTATTAGTTCTCATGAAAGCTAAAGTTGACTGGAATATAAATTCTTGGAGACAACCTATTTCCTAAGCAAAACGAATATAGATTTTGTCAAAAAGGAAAAATAGCGACTAAAAGTTGACCTAGGAGAAAAAATTATAAATGATGGGGTTAAGGTTATGTGGTTAAAAAGGAAGTTTAGAAAGAAAATTCTTAAAGAAGATTAATTCCAGAATAAAATAGAAAATGTTTATAAAATAATTTTTTTAAATGATTTTAATTATTGGGCATGAAAAAAAAAAATTGCGTGGGTTAAATAGCACCACTCTTGGGTTAAATAAAATGAGTTCAAACCCAAAGGATAACATCATGCGTACTACTAAGTCAATATATTTTTTCTATTTTTTTTTCGTACCCATCTATCTTTATGAGTCGAAATTAATGTATATGACATGCATGTATCAGATAGTGGTACCATTAATGTGATAACATCGTGGTACGATATTATTTCCCAAAATTTCATCTTCTATCACTAAGCTTTCACTAATATAATAGATTGAACTTTCACCAATATGAGAGGCTGAAAACCTATATTAATTTGCTTTTTTCAATCTACAAATAAAAGCGACCTCTTCTCTAACTAGATGGAAGGCGTGCTTGTTACACGGGTATGTTTAGTGATTATTTTTGAAATAGTTTGTAAATAGCTTTATTGCGATCACAAAAATCAATTATATTCAAACATAACAATTGTTAAGCATATTTTGTCATCCAAAATATTATAGTTACCTAATTTTTCTCTTTTGGATACAAAAGAATATATATCGAAGCTAATAATGTCATCCTAACTGTCTCAACTATTATCAAATCTTATTTATGCAACATAATATTATGTTGCATCTATCTTTTGCATAGGTAAAGTAAGCGAATATGTACATTCTTAGAACAGGCAAGAACATAATGAATTTTAAGGACGGATATGATCAGCCCCTAATTTGTTCCCCATCCTGCAATTGTACTTAATGTTGCAACATTTTCCAAGTTCAGTAACTAATTTCCATGGAACCATTTTTGGAGGCTCCAAGTTCAAAAATTCAGACAAACAGTTCCATCATCGCAAATATCGATATGCTTTAATTTGTAAGTAACAAACACTTACATTCTAGGAAAAAGATTATCCATAATTACATAGCACTATGTGAATCAAATTACAGTAATGTACAATGAGAAATCGTAGTCTAAGACAGCAAACATGAAAAGTAACTTATATAATGTTATATAAAGCATCAGATAACCGCAACCAATGAGAATCCACCAAACATAAAAGTAACTTGGAAAAGCAATAGCTTAAAAGATTAAAGGATTCTAACACCATCGATCATTACAATCATTCTTAGATCTAGCTCATTTGACGTTTAACATTCCAAATTAATATCTTACATGTTCTCAACATCCGTTAGCAAGTAGTGGTTAATGGTTTCTTTGAAAATGAATTGGTCAAATCCATATTTATGCCCACTCACATTAATGCTCTTCACCAAAGGCAACGGGAAATCCCACTCAAGCTCCGGGTAAAGGAATGGAGCAATAGACCCACCGCTTGCAGCATCAACATGGATTGAAGTGTCCCGTCTACAAAATAAGTTTGTAAAATTAGGTAATGACTAATTATAAATTGGCATATTAATAATAAATAATTACCCAGTTTGTTTGTTCTTCTCAGTCGAGATCATTCAAAAACTTAACATCTTCAAATTCTCCATTGAGAGTGGAACCAAGAAAAGCAGCAACACAAATAGTGTTATCATCTACCATTTCAACTGCTTTTTGAGGGTCCATTACATAGTATCCACCTCTTAGCTTCACCTCCTTCAGCTCCACCTCAAAGTACCCTCCAAATTTCTCCCAGCACACCTAACGAACGATAATTTATGTTATAATTAATTAATGATAATTCATAAATGGGATGATGAGTAATTACCTGAACATTGTGCTCAAACCTGGACACACATGTCAAAATATGCTCCCATGCCTCCTGTAAATAATTTCCATCTTCATCTGCAATTGTGACTATTGCCTATGGACAAGGTAAAATATCAAATCCAGCATCAGAATGAAGTTCAATGAATTATCCAGAGATGACAGATATATAGGTGTCATTAAGAACATCTACAGTAATCAGATCATACAATTTGAGTTTATGGTAGCAAATGTCATTATGCATTGAAGAATTTTTTTCCAGATTCCCACAAACACACTACTTGGCATGATAAACTACTGCTCCACATGCTATTGGTGTTTGTCATTGTCAAATTAGAAATCTGACTTTGAATTTGAACCCAATTTCTTCTCCTCAAACCACTTTTTTGCCTCTGAAACTGCTGCACCGGAGAGATCTGGCATGTCAACATCTGCAATATAATTACAGCAGCAATCTATCTCCATATTTGACAGCTCAATTTTTACTGTTTTCTTGTGTTTGTAAGAAAGCAATATCATTGACAGATGTTCTATTGGACAGATCACTTAATCTTGCAGCCTCTGCAATCTCAAAAGATGGTGCTATCTACAACTCTTGACTTAATAATACTCGTCAATCTATTGAACTCTTCCCTAGTTAAACATTAGGACCATATATAACTTGGAGTCAAACCATTTAAAAGAGAAATAAGTATAATTAGTATATAGAACCAACTCAGATATATTAAAAGACAACAATAATGATATCATTTCAAAGAGTCCAATAAATTTGAGCAGATACACCATGAAGTTATTGAATACACAAAATAAACTAAATATTAAAAATCAAACTTGACCTTATTTTCTTTGCATCAAGAAACCCACAAAGCTGTGCTACACCTGCACCATCATTAACCACATAACACAACTTGAATCAATCACAATATCCGTATAAACAAAAACAAATCAAAGTGCATAAACAAAACAGAGACACACTTATTAGCTTCTAGCGAAAATATGCGGGTTGTTATTTTGTGTTGCACAAGATTATGGCTTGCCTCAAGTTTATTCTTAACAGAGTGAGTAGTTGAATGCTGCAAAATCAAATCAAAACACACACAATTAATTAGGGTCTAATGCATGGATGTGTTGGTGACAAAATTGATTAAAAAAAAAAGAAAAAAAAAAGAAAAAAAAATTAATGAAGTTCATTGAGTCAGACCGCCCATAAATCTCGAGCATCAACCACTGCTGATGATTTGAAGCCAATGTCACTCAGTCAGCTCTTATGGTGGCTTTGGAAGATCTTCTGTTCCACAATATTACTCCTATCCTATCGCCACTTAGAGGACCAGCCCAGACCTGGAAACTTAGAAACATTTATTAATATAATGAACTATAAATCAGTTGCAAACATTGTTATAAAATACACACACTTATGATATATGGTGATCAAAAGACTAACCTTGGTTAACAGAAATAACCTCCTTGTTGGTAATCACCTCCAATGTGTCCTTGTCCATGGAACGAATATCACACAAGGATAAGGGGAGCCTACAGAATCATTGACAAAAAGTATATAGCCATTTAGAGCAGGGTCAACACCAAGTGTATGTGAATTGTCCTTAATATGATCAATCAAGCACCTTTGCTAAAGCCCAAATGCTGAAGTGGGAGCGGTATTCTTCTGTGACATTCCTCTATTGCCCACCTCAAGCATTTCAAGGTCTAAAGGTTCAACAACAAAGTAAAAATTCGAGTTGGTAAATATAGTAGATTGACATGTTATATAGTTGGCTCTAACCATTCCATCCACCCAGTCCAGCCTAAGAAGCAGAATCATCAATTTTCATGTTTAACACTCTTTGATTTTGGAAGAATAAAAGAAAACTACCTATCCCAAGTATCTTTGATATCTCCAGTTGTTCTCCAACTGTTTCCAATGTTATGTGCCCATGTTGCAGAGTCTTCGGCCCCTGCATAGCACCAATTTATTTCTTTTGACTGTGTCCTGAAGAAACTTGGCATATTCTATTATAGCATTTAGCTTCCTTTTCAAAGCTTCCTACACAAAAACAAATTAAAGTGACATTAAGCATTCTGCAAGACCACAAATAATCCATTTTCTGTAGATAGCCAGAGGAAAAGAAAAAGAGTTAGACATTTAAGAATAATTGACAAATAGAGATTTCAATAATACAACTTAAGCAGTACATCCTTACTTCCAATGACTGTGATGCCACATTTTGAGCAACCTGTAATGCCATTGACCAAAAGTTAGATAAAACAGTACCAAATATATTATAAATTAAATTTCGATCATACTGAATTAACTATCATTCAATTTTGAAGACAATAGCAATCAACTAATTAATCCAGATACAAACTCAAATTGGTTGCAAGTAACATTCAAACTCGAACTTATTGAAAATCTAAATAAAGAAAATGAATCTACATGAAACTAATTGAAATTGTTTGTATTTACTCCAGCAGTTCCTATACAATTATGAATTAAAATCTTTGTATCTTTGTTATGTATTATTCTTTACACGTCACAGTAACAGAATCAAACGAAATTAATAGTAAAAGTAGGAACCTGAGGGAAGAAGTTGGAGACATCGAAGCCTTGAGCAATGAGCGAGAAATCACTTAAGAGCCTCGCATCTCTCTAAACAAATCTGTGTGTCAAGTGAAGGCGCGATGTTAACGCTTTCCAGAAAGGCAAATTCAGAAAATCACGGATGAAATTGAGAGGTCATACTCATGTTAGGCACAATCTCCATTAATTCATCTTCCGCCATAACATAAACCTGGTCATCAACAATTCAAACACCGATTGCAAGTAAAAAACATATAATTTTTTTTTTTTTTAATAAGTTAAATTAATATAGAAATCAAAACCTCTTCTGGAGAAAACAGAGAGATGGGAGAATCAGATTGACCAACCATCCTTGCAAGTATAATCGGTTCGAATTTGAAGCTGGAGGAGACGTAAATGGGCCTTAGAGAGTCATGGAGCCATCTGTGAAAGGTGGAGTCAGGGATTGATATTTCAACGGCAGATAAACACATATAAACAAACACCCCGGAGATGGCTCCAGGTCTGATTGCATGTCATCGACTACATTCTAAGACCAAATTTTGTAACATTACAATAATTCAAAACTTACCCAATTCTCAGTTTTACTTTTTCTGGAAGAAAACCATAATCAAATCAACAAACTCGCTCAGGGAGGAAGAAGAAATGTTAAGAAATATGAATTTCAGAGATGAGACTGAGAACCGTGCAAGGTTGATATGAACTTTTGGAATACCAATGCGTGCATTAATATCTCTTTAAACCACAACCTTTAGAATACTGTGCAATACATTAATATCTCGTTAAATCAGCATCTTATGTGTCACTCAATCAAGGTATGTGTGCAATAATATCTCTTTAAACCACAACCTTTAGAATACTGTACAATACATTAATATCTCGTTAAATCAGCATCTTATGTATCACTCGATCAACGTATGTCTAAGGATCTCATGTAGAATCCTACGTAGAGTCTAAATAGCGAACAATAAAGATGGTGGGCTTCAAGATTATATATATATATATATATTGATTGTAGCTTCATAGCCAACTAAAACAAACTACATGTATTTTTTCTATTAGTAATGCTATACTTATTTATCTTACTATCTTTTGTAAATATAATGCATAGTACAAATATTATACGTATAGTATAAGTACCATATATAATTTTAACAAAAGTAGTAAGGCGGTTAATAAGCTCGTTAGTAAGTATAACATTATTGTTTTTCTATTTACATTTTTTCCTCACTTGTATTTAATTTCGGTTCCTCTTCACTTTCTACTCACAACATGTTTGGTGCAAAGATACATAATCTAGAGCGATTTGATCGACCTTGAGATGCTAACATTGATGGTTAGTTTTTTGTTGTATGGGTAGTACATAGAGCCGGTGTGGCTAGTGTTGTGCCTAAAAATTCAAGGTCTGTCATGTCGTGGGCCGTACCATACCAAGGCCCATAAAAATTCGTGTCCTATCATACCATGCTGGCCCACCAAACACACCCCTTAAAATTCTAAAATAGACACTTAGAATTTATGAAGTAATAAATTATTACGTTGACTTCGTATTGTTAATATATTCGTTAAAAGTATATAAGAGTTGAGTGAATTTTATTAATATAATTACAAATTTATCTTTAATGTTGGTACAGAATTTTGCACCAACCAGCGAGATATGATCGATCTTGTTGGGATTGGAACTGATGTGTGCATGATTATTGATAATCAGCGATGAATATGAATGAAATAAAATAAAAACAAAGAGATTTTTAAAGTGGTTTAGTTAGGTTAACAGCCTACATCTACTGTGTTTTTGTATTTGCTGTGAGAGCTTACAATGCAATTCTTATATGAAATTCTTGACCCCCTCCTCATTGTCTGAGGGTTTATATATAAGATTTGTACAAAGAAAGAAACGAAATTAAGGGGATTACAATTGATTCAAACCATAATTCTGATATCCTCACGATCGAGCGCTGTGATTGCATAGTGATAACTGTTGATCCTGTCATTCTCGCAATATCTAGAATATGAAGTAATCTAGGGATTGCTTGAATGATTCCTTGAATTGTTCGCGACTAGTTTATGCTAGGTCGAGTTACAGCTCAACGAGCTTATGCTGAGTCAATCAATCATAGTTGCCGAACTCATTATGGGTCGAGTTATACCCTTAAGTTGGCCCGAGCTTGGCGGAAAAATCACACATAACATTTAATAATTTTCAAATTTATAGACTATTTTTAGTTATATTTCACACTTGAATTTTACACCTATCCCTTAAAATTTGAAATTCCATATTTTTTAAGATTTTACAGATTTTTAAAAATTTTATTTTGTAGGATTTCTTTTTTTAACATTTTTCCGTCTGTATTTTTGCATTGCATCAAAAAATTAATTTAACCTTGTACATTTTGAAATTAACGTGAAAAATTAACAATAAGAAGTGCCGTTGATAAATTATAAATATATACCATTAAATTTAAATTATAAATATCATATCAATCCAATGCGATGAATCTAATAATGATTAAGCATGGTTTTGATGAAATTAATTCTCTGGCAATGGAGGCGGTGTATTACAAGGAACTACTTGTGAGGCAATGCTGTGCACTTTAGTTGCTGCAAGAGATCAAGTTCGAGGAATATGGAAGAGAAAATATAACGAAGCGTTGTGTATGGGTCTGATCAAACATAGTGCAATCCAAAAAGCTGCTCAAATGCTGGAATCAATCCCAACAATTTCCGGGCGATTAGGACGACCAAATCGTCAGTGTTGGCCTAACCCCAGACTCGTACTGTCAACTATTAAGTCAGATGTAGAAGCTGGGCTAATTCCATTTTCTTTGTGCCACAATCGGGACGACGTCAACAACTGCAGTTGATCCATTAGGGCCCCTGGGCAAGATCGCAAAAAAAAATAGCATATGGGTGCATGTTGATGCTGCATATGCGGGAAGTGCCTGTATTTGCCCGGAGTTTCGCCATTTCCTGATGGTGTTGAGGATGCAGACTCATTAGTTGAATGACATAAATGGTTCTTCACTACCTAGACTGTTGCTGTCTATGGGTGAAGGATCCCAGTGCTCTATAAAGTCGCTTTCAACATATCCTGAGTACTTGAGGAACAAGGCTAGTGAGTCGAAGCTAGTGGTTGACTAAAGATTGGAAATAACCCTCAGCCGAAGATTTCGTTCCATGAAAACTATGGCTGGTGCTAAGAAGCTATGGAGTGACCAACCTGAGAATGTTCCTACGCAGCCATGTGAAGATGGCCAAAACATTTGAAGAGCTTGTCGCTAGTGATGAGAGGTTCGAGATTGTTGTTCCAAAATTTCGCTCTGGTTTGTTTAGAGCAGTGCCATCGGTATTAAGCTTAGGTAAAACACAGTATAAAAATCCTCAGTCTCAGAGGCGAAGCAAGCGAATGAACTGAACAGAGAATTGTTGGAGTCGATAAATGCATCCGGGAAAGTGTACATGACGCATGCCATGGTGGCCGGAATTTATATGATAAGATTTGCAGTGGTGGGACTCTAACAGAGGAAAGACATGTCAGGGAAGCTTGGAAGCTGGTGCAACAACATTTGGAAGCCATACTATGCGTATCATTTGAATGCTATCAATCATTATTTATCTGGTCATTTCTACTCATCTTTAGCCTTTTCTGTGCATAAATATATACATATAATTTATTACACTATATAATGGCACTAACTGACAGTCATGTCTCCAAGGTCGGGAACCACGCCCCTTCGAAATTCTTAGGGGTAGTGGACCCACTTAAAACCTAACCTCCTTAGATATTTACCGTCTTGTTGACATAATTTTCTTAGACATGCATATATCCATATAAATAGTTGCCCAATGTCCTAAACCTGAAGGCTTTGATACCATGTTAGAACTTGGTGATGGAGAGGCAAGAGAAGCAACTAGGTTGTTGAGTATGCCGAGAGGAAAAGATGGAGAGGCAAGATAAATAATTTGGCTGCTGAGTATGCCGAGAGGAAAAGAAGAACAAAGAGCTTTGTAGTGAAAATGTGTTTGATTGATATTTAAACTTGTACATAATACATCAATTTATACAAAAAATAAATAAATAAAATGCAACGTAATAAAATAACGCCATGATCTCTAGTGTAACGACTTGATTCTGACAATCAAGGAGAAGAATAAAATCTTTGATATAGATTTATACCGTATCGGTCAATTATTTAGAAGTTAACTATACAAATTTAAATTATTTACAAAATTTATTATCTACTTAACAGATACGGTCAATTATTTAGATGTGAACTATACGTTAAATATATCATATTTATCGTCAATAGAACGTGACTTTTGCCTAAATGATCTTGATATCATGTGCAAAAAAATATAAAATAACATACATTATTACTGTAAAAGTTTAGAGACTTAATATTTACATATCACGTTTTCTTTATGCACATTTTAAAGTTGTCATTGTCGGCATCCGTAATTTTTTGTTCGGTAGTCTGCCCTTCAAAGAGGTTCACGTGTGCACCTACTATAACTTCAAATTGCATGGACGCAAATATTAGTTCTCTTGCCAATACTTCGTGGCTGCAAGCCAGTCAGTACATTATTCCCCTTTTTCATCGTGAAATTAAAAAGAAATTATGTAAAAGATGTCTGGATTGTTTTTGGCATAATTATTAATAACCTTTTAAGCTGTATTTTATTGTAAGTACACAATCCTTGAAGTTGATTTCTATTATAATAAGAGCAATGCTAGTTTTATAAAGACACATACAAAAGGGATATATAAAAACAATCCACCTCCTTGATTTTCATGATTTCTCTCTCTCTCTTTCCATTTTTCTTTGTTTTTTTTTTCTTGCTGATGTTACTTTATAGTCCTTTTTGTATGGGTCTTCATAAGAATAACATTTTTCTTAAAATAATGGTCTATGCCGAAGGAATAGACCTAAAACATTTCCCGAAAACTTTTTAAAACAAAATTTATGCGGAGAATAGTAATATTATCATGAGAAAATAATAAAGAATTTAAACAGATGTACTTTAATAGAGGAAATATATACTTACTTTGTCAAGGTCTCAACCAGCATCACAGCTGCTGGTGTCCTTGTCTTACTCCAAGCTGCCTTTCGCACCAAAGAATGCAAGCTTTGGTTCTAGGGTGCGCCTAAGAAAAAAGAGTGACCTTTGGTTCCCGTTTACAATGTTACAACACATGTCATTCAACTTCCTAACTAAGAAAGCTTTGGAATATTCTGATTCCTTTTCATTTTAAAGTTTCGAGGCAGAGGAAATTGATTAAATTGCCCTTCTATTAACTTTAACGTGTAACTTTGATTTTCAGCTGGGACGTTTATAGATTCGTTAAAGATAAGGTGGAAATATGTAATTCGGCCACGTATTAATTTGCTGCGGGCCAACTGAACAGTTTCGTGCTGCCAAGTCTCAGTAGTCAGTAGTACAATAATATCGCAATATCTCTACGTGAACTGATCCAGTCCCCCAAAAGTATGATGGTACATTATAACCGATATTCCAATGCCAATATCTGCCCTTCAACGCCAAATCACTGTATATTTTTAAGATCGCGTGACAGCTGACACAATTTTAGCGAAACTGAATAAATCATGCGCAAATTTGTTTAATTTTATTATTCATAAATAATTCTGACCGCCTCCTATATATTCATACTCTCATTTGCATGAAACGTGCACCTCCTCTATCATCTTTGATCCTCAACCAACCCCTCCTTCATAAATCAACTCAACAAAAATTTTCCACCTTCACAAATCACTTCAAAACTTTTCCCACAACAAAATAATGGGTAGCCTTCAAAAAGACCATGAACTTGAAAATGAGATAGTCTCAGTCACTAACCCCTTGGACTCCGAGGAGCTCAGGAGGCAAGGCCACATGATAATAGACTTCATTGCTGATTATTACAAGAACGTTGAGAAATACCCGGTGCGAAGCCAAGTTGAACCGGGTTATCTTAGCAAACGCTTGCCAGAATCTGCACCAAATAATCCTGAACCTATAGAAAAAATCCTCCAGGATGTCCAGGAACATATTGTCCCTGGTATAACGCATTGGCAAAGTCCTAATTACTTTGCATATTTCCCTTCAAGTGGCAGCATTGCGGGGATTCTTGGCGAAATGCTTAGCACGTGCTTTAATGTTGTAGGGTTCAACTGGATGTCATCACCCGCTGCAACTGAGCTGGAGAGTATAGTTATGGATTGGCTTGGAGAAATGCTGACGCTTCCAAAGCCTTTCCTTTTCTCTGGCAATGGAGGCGGTGTATTACAAGGAACTACTTGTGAGGCAATGCTGTGCACTTTAGTTGCTGCAAGAGATCAAGTTCTGAGGAATATTGGAAGAGAAAATATAACGAAGCTTGTTGTGTATGGGTCTGATCAAACTCATAGTGCAATCCAAAAAGCTGCTCAAATTGCTGGAATCAATCCCAACAATTTCCGGGCGATTAGGACGACCAAATCGTCATTGTTTGGCCTAACCCCAGACTCGCTACTGTCAACTATTAAGTCAGATGTAGAAGCTGGGCTAATTCCATTTTTTCTTTGTGCCACAATCGGGACGACGTCAACAACTGCAGTTGATCCATTAGGACCCCTGTGCAAGATCGCAAAAAAACATAGCATATGGGTGCATGTTGATGCTGCATATGCGGGAAGTGCCTGTATTTGCCCGGAGTTTCGCCATTTCCTCGATGGTGTTGAGGATGCAGACTCATTTAGTCTGAATGCACATAAATGGTTCTTCACCACTCTAGACTGTTGCTGTCTATGGGTGAAGGATCCCAGTGCTCTTATAAAGTCGCTTTCAACATATCCTGAGTACTTGAGGAACAAGGCTAGTGAGTCGAAGCTAGTGGTTGACTATAAAGATTGGCAAATAACCCTCAGCCGAAGATTTCGTTCCATGAAACTATGGCTGGTGCTAAGAAGCTATGGAGTGACCAACCTGAGAATGTTCCTACGCAGCCATGTGAAGATGGCCAAAACATTTGAAGAGCTTGTCGCTAGTGATAAGAGGTTCGAGATTGTTGTTCCAAGAAATTTCGCTCTGGTTTGTTTTAGAGCAGTGCCATCGGTATTAAGCTTAGGTAAAAACAAGTATAAAAATCTCTCAGCCTCAGAGGCGGAGCAAGCGAATGAACTGAACAGAGAATTGTTGGAGTCGATAAATGCATCCGGGAAAGTGTACATGACGCATGCCATGGTGGCCGGAATTTATATGATAAGATTTGCAGCTGGTGGGACTCTAACAGAGGAAAGACATGTCAGGGAAGCTTGGAAGCTGGTGCAACAACATTTGGAAGCCATACTATGCGTATCATTTTGAATGCTATCAATCATTATTTATCTGGTGCATATTCTACTCATCTTTAACCTTTATCTGTGCATAAATCATATCATATTACGAGATAATTTATTACACTATATATAATGGCACTAACTTACAGTCATTTCTTCAAGGGTCGGGAACCACGCCCCTTCGAAATTCTTAGGGTCAGTGGAAACACACCCCTTAAAATTCTAAAATAGACACCTGGAATTTATGAAGTAATAAATTATTACCTTGACTTCGTATTGTTAATATATTCGTTAAAAGTATATAAGAGTTGAGTGAATTTTATTAATACAATTACAAATTTATCTTTAATAATATTCAAATTTATCGACTATTTTTAGTTATATTTCACACTTGAATTTTACACCTATCCCTTAAAATTTGAAATTCCCATATTTTTTAAGATTTTACGGATTTTTAAAAATTTTATTTCGTAGGATTTCTTTTTTTAACATTTTTCCGTCTGTATTTTTGCATTGCATCAAAAAATTAATTTAACCTTGTACATTTTGAAATTAACGTGAAAAATTAACAATAAGAAGTGCCGTTGATAAATTATAAATATATACCATTAAATTTAATTTATAAAATATCATATCAATCTAATGGGATGAATCTAATAATGATTAAGCATGGTTTTGATGAAATTAATATGGAAACGTCTTGACTGAAGATTTAATATATATATTCTTTGTATATTTTTTTTTTCAGTTTAGAGTACTAACTCATTATCATTGTTTTGCAGATGAAATAAGGTTTTCCGACTTCTTCCATGTTAAAGATGTTTGGATTCATATATAAGTTTCTGTAGCACATGAAATAAGCTTCTTGACTTATTTGATATAAAAGATGTTTGGGTTGATAGATTGTTGTAGCTGATTACATGTTTTGGGCGTGGAATTGTTTTTATTTGAATTTGGAATTGAGCTCCTAAAACTTTTATGTTATAATAAATAACGGTATTACTGATACTTTGTACCATTGATCTTTTAGTATTATTGATGTTTATATATATATATATATACCTTGTTAAACATATATTTTTAGCCATTAGATTTTGGGGTGATCGTTAAAAGTAAGGATCAGTAGAATTGGAATATGCTCTATGAAAGACGGTTTATTTTTTTCCCAAAAATTTGGTCCTTAAATCCTTTATCTGTTAAGGATGTACCAACCTGATACTGTTATAAGCCAATTAGCCAAACAGTTTTTCACCTCAAAGGATTTATCGGGTTCTTTTATAGCTTCAGTTTCAAACCTGCCTCTTGATTTTTATATGTTTTTAATTTATTTGTTTCCGAATTTTTATCCCGTAGATCTTATATCTGAAGGCTGGACTACAACCATACAGACAGGATATTTATAATCTATGTGTTTCATGCAGCACAGTAACCACGCCAACGGCCAACCTCAAATTGGTGTTCACCAACTCCATTAGCAACTTTCTCATTCATATGCATTTTACACATGCGAATTACCATACTGGGTCTTGACTCTTGAGATCCTGTAGGGCTATATCAATTATAGATGAACAATTTCGAATGGCCAAGTCTCAATGAGGTCCCAATCTTTCTGAGATGATATGGTCCCAGTATTGTTTCTGGCCGTATGTGGTCTACTTTGTTGCTATTGATCTTTTAGTACGGATCAATAGAAATCGGATATGCAAAAAGACAAGATATATAATCTTATTTTCCATATGTTTCATATCAATATAATATTTGCAGCCTCGTGCAGTTTAATTTGTGGACTTATGTTTTTGACACATAGTCTGCTGGCAAAATAATTTTAAAGGAATCCACCAATTATTTTATTAGACTTGTATTATAATTCTCTTTAATTATAACTTATGGTCAACGCAAATTATTAGACGAGACCAAATAAAAAATGTTGATACACACAAGATAAAGCATTGGTTTCACGTGTTTACCTTATATTCCTTCAAACCAACAAATCCACGGATTTTAAAGATGCAAAAACTATTAATCTCTGCCGTACTTCATGGCTGCAATCAGCTCTTATTCCTATATTTTCATTTAGAAATGAAAACAAACAATTTTAAAGCTTTCTTAATCACACTTTAATAGGCTTAGGCTTCAGCTATTAAAGCTAATAACTCTAGAGGAGGGCAAGGCCCGACCCAAGCGGTCCCAGGCTCGGGCCCTCAAGGACTGGTCCTTGAAGGACCGGGCCCAAATTGGTCGGGACCAGGCATACGACTTTTGTTAGGTCCGAATTGGTCCCAGGACCGGTCCTATGTGCAATATCCCGTGAGGCTATTTCAATTTCGAGTGGCCAAGTCTGAATGGGGTCGTAATCTTTATGAGATGATAGAATCCCTTCCTTTTCTGGTAATATGTGGTCCTTTCAATTAAGAAAAATAATACAGTTATCGAAAAATGGATACCAAATTCATACACCGACAGACGTGGTATTATTTTATTGCATTTTCATATTCCATTGTTAGTTTTCCATTAAATCACGCACACATGTTTCGATTCCGCTAAGGTCAATCGGATCTCTTTAATTGGTGCAAATTTTCGTATCAACAGAAACTATGTTATCATAATTAAAATTCATTTGAAGAGATGGAAGATGGAATCAAACAAAAGAAATATAACGAAATGTTCTTGCTTAGGGCTTGCTTTAAGAGATTAATTTTTTTAAGGAATCAAGAAAGAAAGAGGCAAAGAGAAGCAGTTCAAGGCAAAGAGACTGGCAGAGTATGCCAAAGAGAAAAGACTAGAAGAGAGAAAAAATTATGTTTATTTTTTAATATATTGTAAGCCTGTACAATGGCTTCCAGTAGGGATCAATAGAAATCGCATATGCAAAAAGACAAGTGTAAGTGTGAAGACTGAAATGATGCCGTGTTACTTAAAACCAATACGTTGCCGTTTCAAGAATGAATCTGGACCATCAGTCTTCAAGAGATCCAACGGCAAAGATCAGTCCATCATGGTCAACAATATATAAGCAACCTTTCTTCAGTTTTCATTAGGTCTTTCTTTCGATTGTATTAGGTTTGCTCTGCTAGGGTTCATATTTACTGTTCTGAAATCTTGATTATGTGTAACTTGTTGAGTGATTGGGTTTATCATTCTGATAGAGGGGTTTTGTCTCTCTTAAGGCTGGGAATCTGAGTGTTAGTTTCCTAGGATTGCTTGTTACCAAATAGGGTGGTTTCGGGTTCTCTTGGATCTTTTGATCTTGTGTCTGTAATCTATAAACTGGTTCATCAATTAGTGCAGTGAGCTTCATCCGTTTCCGGAGCTCAATGTGGACGTAGCCTTCCCATTCTTGGAAAGGTAAACCACGGTAAAAATTGTGGTGTCTTGATTTTGTGGATGTTTGTTTTATCATTTCTGTTTTGGTTTCTTGAGAGTGATTATTACAACAATGGTATTATAGCCTTTTACCTTAGAGTCTAGAGTGAATTCGTGATCCAAATCTAAGGAAATTAAATTTTAGGGTTTCATCGAAATTGGGGGTTTTCTAAAATTGCGAGTTCTAAGGTTCTTAGGAGACAATAGGTTATCGTCAAACCAATAATCATCAAGAATTGAAACTGATTTCTGATTATGAGCACCATGAGTTCAACCCGCTTGGAGATCTCACAGTACGATGGCAAAATTGACTTCAACTCTTGGAAGAAGAAGATGAAGGCCCTATTTTCACATAATAAAGTAGGGATTGCACTCGAAAAGGATGAAGAAAAGTGGCGGGCAGACAAGTTAAAGAGAAAGGCAGAAATAGATGAGGAGGCTTACAACTTGATCGTGATGAATTTGGCAGACAACGTGCTGAGAAAAGTGGACGGATTGGAGGCTCCACTCACACTCTGGGGTAAACTCGAAACTCTGTATGCCTTACAAACTGCACCAAATCTTGCTTTCTTAAAGGGTGCACTATTTTCGTATAGAATGGACAGTAGTAAGTCAATAGAAGATAATATTGATGAATTCTTGAAAATGACCATAATCCTAAAGGGCATTGACCAAGAATTAAGAGACACGATTACTAGAGGTTATGTCAGACCCTTAACTTTAGGGCTAAGGGGATTATTCTTGAATACGTATGCAAGAAGAGGAAGAGAGGCAACGAGAGGGTATACCAAAAAAAAATGTGTTGGCTTGGGTGGTTGAATGATTGGATAAGGACTCGTAAATATATTACTCAAGAGGGGCAATGATCCTGTTAAACTCTCTGACAGAAGACTACCAAGTAGTCAAAAATGCTTTACAGTCTCTGGTACTGTCCCTAGTGTAGATCTTATAGTATCAGGACTAAAGGCCAGGGAGTTAGAGTTGAAGGTTCAGAAAAGAAGTGGGAACAATCTGTTTGTTAAGGGTAAAATTGACCTAGGAAGTTCCTCTAATGGCATGTAAAGATACACTTGGTCTAAGACTAAAAAGAAAGGGAAAGGGACGAATAAGAAAGGGGAGAGTAGGAAGTGTTTTCACTGTAATAGGCTAGGGCATTTAAAAAAGAATTGTTATGATTGGATTAGAAAACAAAAGTCTGTAAATACTGAGAGCAATGTAGTTTGTGCTGATAATAATATTACTAACCCAGAAGTCCTCACTATGTCCAGGACAGATCAAACACATGACTGGGTGTTAGACTCAGGATGCTCTTTCCATATGAGTCCTAACAGAGATTGGTTCCAGGACTTTAGGGGTGGTGAATATGAAATTGTCTATATGGGGAATAACAACACTTACAGAGTGTTAGGATTAGGTAGTATAACCCTAAGGTTGGATGATGGAAAACTTATTATGTTATCAAATGTTAGATACATTCCTGAACTGAAGAGGAACCTAATATCCTTAGGCACTCTAGATGAATCAGGCTGTAGTTATAAGGCTAAAAGGGGTTGCATAAATGTGTTTAAGAATAACCATATTGTGTTGAAGGGGCTGAAGAAGAATGGGTTGTAACTTCTATGTGGCAGTTATCATCCTGAGAAAGGGAATAATGCCCTGGTCTCCACCAATCTTAATACTACTGATAAGTGGCATCTTAGGCTAGGGCATATGAGTGAAAATGGTATGAGTATTCTCAGCCAACAAGGTTTATTTGGAAAGGATAAAATAACAACCCTAGACTTCTGTGGAACCTGTGTTTTAGGAAAACAACATAGAGGTAGTTTCACTAAAGGCATACACTTATCAAAAAACTGTTTAAACTACCTTTATGCTGACCTTTGGGGACCTGAAAGAATTAGATCTCATGGAGGGAATTCCTACTTCCTTTCCATTGTTAATCACTTCGGTAGAAAGGTTTGGGTATACCTACTGAAGTCCAAAGATGAGGCACTGCCTAAGTTTAAAACCTGGAAAACATTAGTGGAAAATCAAATAGGCAGAAGAGTGAAAGCCTTAAGAACAGACAATGGACTGGAGTTTTGCAATATGGAATTTGACAACTACTGTAGGGATCAAGGTATCTTAAGGCATAGGACAGTTAGGAAAACCCCTCAGCAAAATGGAGTTGCTGAGAGAATGAACAGAACCTTGTTACAGAAAGTTAGGTGTCCACTGTTCACTTCAGGCCTTCCAAAAACCTTTTGGGGAGAAGCATTGACCACTGCAGCCTACTTAATAAACAGAAGCCCTAATAGCTCCATAGGATTCAACTGTTCAGAATCTAAATGGTCAGGAAGAGATCTAAACTTAAGTCATCTAAGGGTGTTTGGATGTACTGCATATGTATACGTAAGTAATGGGAAACTAGAGCCTAGGTCCATAAAGTGTATACTTTTAGGATATCAAGAAGGCATTAAAGGTTACAGATTATAGGATAGAACTGCACCAAGATTAAAGATCATTATTAGCAGAGATGTAATCTGTAATGAAAGGGATTTCCCTTGCAAGTTTGCTAACATTGATGCAGGTTCTCCAAGCAAAACTATAACCCAACCAA